CAGGCTGTTGTTCAAAACAAATGATAAGTCAGGTGTAAAAAAGCTAAATCCTCTGATAAAACTCGAAATGCACAGACTAAATGTTTTATACAACGAAAGATTTTTGTCATGTAAAACCCCTTCTAGTTTATGGAAACTTTTTAAAGAAATAACTAGCGGTAAGCGGTGTAATTCTGTACAATCTCTTAATGTTAATAATCTTAATAAGTCTTTCATACGCTCCTCTGACGATATCCTTCCTAATGATACAAATCACATAGACAATAATTTTAATGGTTTTAATACCCTTGATGTGCTTAAATGTCTCCGTTCTCTTAAGCCTTCCCAAAGCCTTGGTCCTGATGGCGTACCTGCCATTGTCCTCAGGAACTGTGCTGATATTTTGTGTTACCCTCTTACTAATATTTTTAATGCTTCCTTTTCCAGTAATGTTCTACCTTCTGCATGGAAAAACATTAAAATTGTCCCTATACCAAAACAATCTTCTGGTACCGATAGTAAATTTAGGCCTATTGCAATTACTTCTCCTTTTTTAAAATTGATGGAAAAACTACTTTTACTTCGTCTTGAACCTTCATTGAAAGCTTTTAATGACCCTAAGCAATTTGCATATAAACATGGTAGAAGTACCTTGGATGCTGCGGTTGTCTTATATCATAATGTTGTTTCTTGTTTAGACAAAGGTGCCAAATATGTCCGTGGTGCTTTCCTAGACTACACATCTGCGTTTGACTCTGTACCTAGGGGCCTTTTATTAAATAAGCTCTCCTTGACGCACACAGCATCCTGGGCTAAGAGTTGGTTGCATTCTTATTTTTCTGATAGAATGCAGTATACTGCATATAATGGCAAATCTTCTTCTGCTTTGCTTACAAAAGCCGGTGTTCCTCAAGGTGCCGTCCTCTCTCCCTTTCTTTTTTCTTTCTTCTTACATGACCTGCCACATTTAAACGAAACCAATTTTGTCAAATATGCTGATGATCTGACTGTATCACTGCCTATCACTTCTGAGTCTGACTGCTCCAAACTTAATAGCTTTTTGTTGGACATCAGCATGTGGTCTAAGTCAAATGGTCTTATGTTAAATCCTTCCAAATGTCAGGCAGTTAACTTTACCTTCAACCATCGACGTGACATACATGAACTAGTTAGTTCCCATGATGCCTGTAGCATAGATGGTACAGAAATTGAAACCAAATCAAGCATTAAATACCTTGGATTAGTTCTTTCCTCGGACCTTTCATGGTCATCTCACATTTTATTGGTCTCTAAGAAAATGTTTCGTCTTACCTTCCACATTAAAAAGTTAAGACAACAAGGTATCAGCCAACCTTTAGTTCTGCGATTTTTAAACTCCTGTATTTTACCCATTTTACTTTATTGTTCTCCATTAATCTTTCCTGGGCTTCTTAAAAAAGACTATGCCGTAATACGAAGGGTATTAAATGCTGTGAGTAGGGCTTGTGGTTTGCCACTGCGTGATCTCGCCAATACCATAGTCGAGAGACACGTAAATTCCTGTAAAAATTGGGCAAAGGCCGTACTGTCAGACCCTCTGCACCCTCTTTATTCACAATTATCCCCTTGTATCTCATCAGGTAGAACGAGAAGTCAATATAAGAAATTATATGCTCGTACCACTAAGTACAAAAATTCTACAATAATGTACTTAGCCCGTATTTTATGTGATGAAGACACTGTTAGACGTGAAACATATAAGTTACTATGTAATTAGCATAGTGAATCGACCCTTTCATTGTTCATCTTTCTGTAATTCTATGGTGTCACCCTTTCTATCGTTTAATTATAACTTTGCTATTTTTATTTTAGTTGATATTACTATTATTACTATAATTTTATATTTTTCTCCTTATCCTCTACTGTAATTGCTACATAGCTCCTATAAAAACGTTTTGTTATCATTATTATGTATTAATTATTCCGTTTATCTACTTTTTTTTGTTTGTTGTTGTCGTTTTTGAGTAAATTAGATGCAATACTGTACTGAATGCTGAAAATTCCTTGCTGTATCATTAATACTGTTTTTGGAATAAAGCAAAAAAAAAAAATTATTAAAATTATTAAATTATTATTATTACAAAGCAGCTTTATTTGTACATATTTACGCATCCACCTAGCTCATTAAAATCACTCACTTTGAGGTGAAAAGAGAGGGAGGAGACATACATTAAAAATTATAACTGTAAAACGCAGTTCATTTAATTCGTGAAATAAAACATAATGACGCAGTAATATTTAGAATAATTAGTTTCCTTTGTGAATTTAGACAAAGTAATACAAAGATGCAATTTATCTGAGTCGTGTGATGTATTTACGCAACACATTTCGAACAATCTGATCACACTTCACGGACTTCTCATAGGAATATATATGAAATCTGAACGAAGAATATTCTTTTCAATAATTTCTCTTCAGGTTCTTACAATTATAACTGGACATTATTATGGCCAGTTATGCGGCGGGTACATTTTTAACGTAGAATAACAGATTGGTTATGGGGTGTTAAAATAAATAGTCGTATTTGTGTGACAAACGTCGTGCTAGGCTGAAATCGATTACAAAATATTGTAAAATGGGAGACAATGGTAGTGATTAGTCATAATAGATTTGTAGTGTGGGGTAGGAAAATTAACAAGTCAGTTCAAGGTTATAAAAGGTGTCAGGTGGGTGGCTAGTATAAAGTGGTGTGTATTAAACAGGAGATAGTAAGGCTGCAATGAGAGGTTCATAATGAAATAACGAATGTGTGAAATGAAACAGGTGGAGAGATAATATCACTAATAGTAAGTCCGGATAGTGTAAATGGGAAATTCGATAGTATTGAGAGAATGTTTACAGGGCATAAATTATGACGAATAATAATAATTGTAATAATAAATAAAGGAAAAAAACCAAGAGAGTTAAGGGGAAGAAGCACTCTTGGTGAGAAGGAGAATCATCAATCCAAGTATGACCACGGTGGGAACAGCGTCTGGATGTGTTCTTTTTGGATACAAAGTTCCGGTTTAGTCGATCTTATTGCAACAGCATCGATGTCAACACAGCTTTCAGGGTTACATACTGAATTCAGAAGTCATTATCACGCACATTTCGCTTACGCCTCTTACGCATAGCTGAAGCTGTTGCAATAAGATCGACTAAACCGGAACTTTGTATTCAAAATGAATACGTCCACATGCTGTCCCTAAAGTGGCCAAACTTGGATTAGAATTTCCCCTTCTCACCAAGAGTGCTTCTTCACCTTAAACCTCTTGGCTTTTACTTTGCTTATTATTGCAATTATTATTATTATTCGTTATAATTTATGCCCTTCTTGCAAACATTCTCCCAATACTATCGAATTTTCCATTTATAATATCCAGACTTATTATTAGTTATATTATCTCTTTTGCATGGAGGATTTCATCAGTTAGAGAACCACTGGAAAACCTGAGAGTCCCAAACTAGGACGAAACAGCTGTCCAGTACTCCCAGGTTTTTAAGTGGTTCTCTAACTGATGTCAGCTCATGATGAAATCCTCCATGCAATCAAACAAAAATCCCTACAAAACCAATACTTGAAAATTATCTCTCTTCTCAATACATACCTCCACCTGTTTCATTTCACACATTCGTTATTTCATTATGAACCTCTCATTGCAGCCTTACTATCTCCTGTTTAATACACACCACTTTATACTAGCCACCCACCTGACACCTTTTATAACCTTGAACTGACTTGTTAATTTTCCTACCCCACACTACAAATCTATTATGACTAATCACTACCATTGTCTCCCATTTTACAATATTTTGTAATCGATTTCAGCCTAGCACGACGTTTGTCACACAAATACGACTATTTATTTTAACACCCCATAACCAATCTGTTATTCTACGTTAAAAATGTACCCGCCGCATAACTGGCCATAATAATGTCCAGTTATAATTGTAAGAACCTGAAGAGAAATTATTGAAAAGAATATTCTTCGTTCAGATTGACTTTTAATTCATGATATGGGAATATTTCACACTGTTAAATTAATAAGGAGTTAAGAGGTGAGAAAATAAATTAAGGTCATTTTAAAAGGACACACTGAAGGTCAAAATAACATTGAAGGTCACTAAACCAAATAATAGAGGTAACAGTACATCTAGGCTGGCTGGTATCATAACAAAGTTTACCCAGGAAGGTTTAGTGTGATGACGAATTGTTACTGAACGCATAAAGGTGGTTTAAACTTCCTACTGGCCAGCTACGGCTTCCACAAACTTTAGGATACTCCCCGAACACGGAGCCCTTTAGGAATACGCAGTAATCAGTAAAATCGCTTTAAAAGAAAAATTAAAACATACCCCCAGCATCCGATAAATATATTTCAGTAGAAATATTTATGAGTTATGTATCTCTTGACTATAACACAAGTTACCCCACTTTTTTTTCGCCTAAAATATGAACCAACTGGTATAATTTTATCATAGATTTGTCACTAAAATTTGAAAGTATTCATCACTCTTCGCTCTATATTAATAGTTATAATAATAATAATTTACTTTATGTGTATGTGTAGCAAAGAACCGTATCGAAACATTTTAAAGTCAGAAATCAATAAATTTTATCCACTGTAGAAAAGCACTACATTATTCAAAGTGGACGTCTTCCTCGTTCATACATTCATCAACATGAATCAGCTATCAAACAGACACGATTACCATTCCTTGATATCAAATGGGGACATCAATTCGTCTGGAAAAAATGTACACCGAAGCAAAGGAAACATCGAGAGTGTCAGGGAATTTCTAGGTGGGTGATACTCGCATGAATCTTCAATGAACAGACATTGATATAGATCAGATATGTATCAAGCAATGAAAAAGTAGTGACATAGGTCAACCAAATAATCAATTTCAATAAAAGTAAACAAAACGATATGAAAATACCCAGAGACTAACAGTCATCTACAAGGTTATTAGAAAAGATTCTAGAATTCTAGAAGTTCACTTTATTCTATTGAAATCATCACTGAAAATGCTGTCTAGAATGACAACAACATAGATGGTGCTGAAATAGAAACCAAGTCGGAAATTAAATACCTAGGCGTCTGTTGATCTTTCCTGGTCGTCTCATATCTTGGCGATTTCTAAGAAAATATTCCGTCTTACCTTCTACATCAAGAAGTTAAGACATTCTGGTATAACCCAACCCTTACTCCTACAATTCGTTAACTCTCGCATTCTGCCCATTATTCTCTGTTGTTCCATGGCTACTGAAGAAAGACTATAACATATTACGCAGGATGTTAAAGGTTGTCAGCAGGGTAAGCAACGTGCCACTTAGCCAGCTTGTTAATATTCTGGTTGACAGGCACTTGGACTCATGTGGAAAATGGGTCAAATCCATTCTGTCTAGCTCACACCACCGTCTTCATTCACAACTCTACTCTTGCATCTCATCAGGCGAAACCAGAAGCCTATATAGAAAACTATATGCTCGGACTAGCAAGTACAAAAACTCAACCATACCCTACTTGGCTCATGTTCTGTGAGATAAAGAAAGCATTAGGCGTGATACCTATAACTTATTAAATAGTCAGTAGAAAAACTGGATCTCGTCTTTCCAACTCATATCATTTATAGATACAACGTTTTCTTTCTTTCTTTTCCTTTTCTCTCTTTTTTCTGTTATGTGCTGCTTTCTTTCTCTCTTCCTTACAAACTCTATTTAAAACATTTTTCTTCGTTCTTTCACACTTTGTATATCTCGACCTTTTGTTACCGCTTACGCCAGCAAATATGCTAGCATCTACTTTTCTAACACCCTCAAACAATCTGTTCAATTTCGGCTTTGCTACCGACATGCCAATATGTTGTTGTCACAATGAACTGAGATTACTTTAATCTATGTAGGATTTTATTTATTGTTAATGTACTAACTGGATGCAATACTGTAGTAAAAATGTTGAGAATTCCATTCTGTATCACAAGTACTGTTTTGGAATAAAGCAAATTATTATTATTATTATTATAAATGAAAACTTTGCAATTCAGCCAACTAGCTCAGAAAACATAACTATGTTACTGGTAATGAAAAGAATGATTGGTAAAAGGGAATTCAATTTAAAGTGTTTGT